CGCCAGCTGGCTCCGAGGCGGCGACAGCGTCGTCGTCGTTGCAGAGCGTCTCCTGCGCATGCACAGGAGACGCTCTTGCACTTTCGGGGGGATTTAAACATCCCCCCGAAATTTTTTTAAACTTTTTGTATTTTTGTGCACACGTGGGGACTGGCCCACGTGTGCACAAACCTCCCCCGGCCCCCCAGCTGCCCCCTCCGTGCTGATTTAAGTATCCGCACGGAGGGGGCAACTTGGCTATTAGATATATAGATTAAGAGATAATAGAATAGCAGTTACAACTTATTCAGACTCACATAGGTTATCTTGTACAAGGTAGCAGTTCAGAATAGTTTCCCGTATCTCGCTTAATTCAGTAAAAATGTTAAACAGAAGCAAGGGAGTGCCTAAAATACAAGGTATAAATTTTGAGATAAATAAATGCTCCATGATTGCAAATTAAGTCATTGGGATCTCTGTTTAAAATACTTCTTATTTAAGCATTCAGCTCTTAATATGTTGTTTTTAACCTAGATATATAGTATGACATTGAGGTTATCTGCATTGTTTGAAGAAAAAATAAGAAGAATCATCTCTGACTTTAGAACTGGCCAAAAACACAATGAAAGATTGCAAAGAAGTCAGAAATACTGTAGGAGGAGGCGAAGTCAGAGTAAATCTGTATGGTACTCTATCAAAACACTCAGGTAAATTACCTATCAGTTGGAGCACTGTGGAAAAAACTGTCAAATTTTTCAGAAAATTGAATTTTCTTTCAGGCTGACAGTTTCTAACAGATGAAGTATTCTGTGCTTACAAATTGGGGACCCATAAGGAGTTGGTGGGAGCAGTCGGAAACTCATGCTCCTCCACCTCCAAGATGTGCACTTCCCCTGTTTCCCCTCTCCCTGTTTGCTTTGGCTTTCATTGTCTCCCCTTGCTGGCCCCCATTCTCCATTTTCCTGCTTTTTTGGGGATAGATATATTTTAATTTTTTGAAAACAAAGTAAAGGTGTAAAGGAGATACAGAAATGAAAAAGGGGTTGCATATCACAATTATGTATATAAAAATTATGTTTCACAGTTAAGTGAACAAAAAGCATTTCTCCCCAACACCCCCTTCATTATAATTTTTAAAACACTATCTATAAAATACAATGGTACTTAACTTCTGTTGAGGTACATTTATATTCAACATTTTGGATTTCAAATTCCATAACTAATCTGTTTTACATATACATTATTGATTTCATCTTTGCAACATATTCGGTGTTATATTTTTGCCACCTCTACCTACTCACTGTAACTTTTGACAATAAGTAATATATCAGAGTATAGAAGGAAAATATGTTATATATCTCATAAGAAGGTATTTCTGCTCAGGATTCACTTCTTTATACAATTATATTAAAAATGCTACATTTAAAACTTATTCTTGTATGGCTCTACATTTCAGTACATTTGTGTATACATTTTTTGAACTACTTCTCATTCTAAATTTGTCTCCCGCTCCCTTTTTCTTGCTTTTTACCCTCCTTCCTACCTATGTCTTCTGTTATGTTTTCTGATCACCCTGGTTGCTGTTTTCTCTCTTTGGTGTTGTTTCTTCCGGCTTGTAATTTACTTATTTTTATTCATTTATTAAATTTGTTAATTGCCCAGTCTCTGCTGGTGCAGGGCTGTGGGTGATGTACAACATTCATAAAAACATATCAAGATAAAACAATTAAAACAATAACACATTTCAAACAGATCGGGTGGCATGTACTCAATCAATCAATCAATCAATACTTTATTTACAGTCCATGATCAGAATACAAACCAGTAAGGAAAAAATAAAATAAATGACTATATAAAAATTAAGGTATGCAAATATAGAAGTGCATAAAACTAAATTAAAACTAATACTAATAGAAACACAGTAGTTTCTAACATTAAAATTCTAAAATAGAATACAAACAGCTACTATCTTCCAAGTTAAGTTGAGAAAAATATATGGAACGTAGTTTAATCGTTTGGGAGCAGAGTTTAGCAACTTTCCCGGTGATCTCTATGCGCACATCAGAGAGAAGTGTGTTAATGATCCCGGAGTTGGAGGTGTCAGGACAGAGCTCCAGTAACGGGGAGATAAGGGCAGTACGATTTTCATTGTAGAAAGAACAGCGAAGAAAGACATGCACCATTGACTCTATCTGACCACTGTTACAAGGGCAAAATCTCTCAGACTGGGCAATTTTGTTATATCTGCCCTCAATAACTGAAGATGGCAAAACTGAAAATCTGGCAGGGGTGAAAGCACTTCTTTGATTAACATTTTCAAGATTATATAGATGGGAAGGAAACGTTTATGAGGAGCAACAATAAAATTAGATGTTTTTGAAATGTCAGACTGACGTTCAGTGTCTTCCACTCTCTGTCTCAGATTGTCTAGCTAAATCTCCCCCCATCCGCAGAAGAGCTGCAGAAGAAAATCCAAGCTGCGCAATTTTAACTTGAACTGCCTTGTTCCAACTGGATTGAGAACCATCCAGTAACATTAAAGGAAGGAGACCTTGGGGGTTTATATTTATATTAAGCTGGAGAAAAAGTGATGAAAGTACAATTCTAGCAGCAACCTTTAGCATACCTATTTCCAGCCGTACCATTACATTTGAAATGCGTTCGGGGACCTGCAAAACAGCCCTCAGAAACTTTGATTGAACCCGTTCCAAAGGGGTAAAACAAGACTCGGGGGCCTATAAATGTCCCATAAACTAATTGAGGTAAAATCCTTGCTTTAAAAAGTTTAAGGGCGGCTGGTGAAAAGTGACCCCCCCCCCCCGGACCTAAGGAATTTAATTATACTAAGGGCTGTCCTTTCTTCCTTGTCAGGGGTGGCATGTACTAATTTATCCAATTTCAGACTGCTGGCTACTTCGCAAACAGGGAAGAGGAGGGCAAGGCAGTTATAAGAAGCAGCAGGAGCGGAAAAGGGTGCCAGCTAGGATGGAAACCATTGCTGTTCTCAGCCAAAAGTCTGGCAGAACATCTCTGCCTTACAGGCCCTGCGGAATTGCATAAGGTCCCGCAGGGCCCAGATGGTATTTGGCAGAGAGTTCCACCAGGTTGGAGCTAGGACCGAAAAGGCCCTGGCCATGGCTCAGCCCTGTTCATTCCTACAGCCCCTGCTGGCCACTACACTCCCTCTTGTTCTGTCTTTTAGCCCTTACATTGCACATACCCACTGTCTTCCCCATTTCTTTGTTTTGTCTTCCCCCTGTGCTCAGTTGATCCTTACTTTAAAAGAAGAAGATTGGGAGTTGCTAAATAACTTTATAATGCTGACATTGATCATGCAATGTACTCCTGTGAAATTTTGGTAGGCAACTTTTGTTTAACCTTTTGAAGTTTAAACCCCCCCCCCCAATGTTTTAGATTTTTCTACATACTTCAGAGTTCTCCTGTGTTTGCAGAAACATCTACCATATCCTTTTTTGGCCCCATTATGTGGACTGTAGGATTATAGAGTTACAAAGCCTAGGGAATTAGAGAGACTGTTTCTGTCCAGTACTATTGTCTATCAGAAAATGGTTTAGGATAGGTTAGACTGTTGAGAGATGATCTAGTTTATCTAAGTGACTGAGAAACATGTAAGTTCTGTTTACTCAAGTTGCTTAAACAGATTTTAATAGCAGTATGGATTTGAATATTTTGTGCATGTTCTTCATAATAAACATTTCCAGTTTAAAGAGATCAATTTAAAGTATCTTATTAACCTCACACCTATTACTCATGTACTATGAAATTCTGCAGAAAGTGATTTCTCCCTGAACTCAGTAAGTTTAAGTAAAGCAGATGCTGCATACTCAGCAGGGCAGTTTTTAAAAAAAGCTCTGAGTAGTGGCAGTGAAAAGGGAAGTAGAAGTATGTGATAAGGCAGGGATTAGTGAGGTGCCTATCCAAAAGGCAAAACAGCCTCTGTCAGACTAAGGTGCTGCTAGCTGATTTTGCCACAGTTGATACAAGTTGAGAAATGGCAACTGGTCCAAGATGTCCTTCATGATTGAGAAGGGATTTGCACCTAGGTCTTTCTAATCCAAGTACCTATCCACTATCCATGGGTGGTTCCCATGTATAATAGAATGGACTCCAGCAACTAACTAAAAAAAAGTTTGCCGCGGCGCACGCTTCTTCGTTGTGCGCCGGCTTGTCCTGTGATCAGCACCTCTCCCTTGCCATGGAACCTCCACGGTACCTCCACAGGACCTCCACGGGAGGTCTGATCGAGTAACTGCGCAGTAGTTTGCCCCAGGGCAAACAGCCACGCTTCTCCCCCGCAGTTTCCTGCCCGTGTGACCGGGGCCAGTATTATGCAAATTAAACTATAACAAGTTATGCTCCTTTCCTTTACAAATTTTAAAGGTTGTTTAGGTCTTTAAACAGTCAAAGTTAAGAGTATGTGAATCATGAGAGTTTGCGTGAAAGAATAAAACTGATAAACATTATAATGAAACATATCATAGGCTTTTAAAGTGGGAGTCTTGGAATAGGTGCATTTTGCATAAATTTAGAATAGCATCTTAAAATTTATTGCATTGGCACATCTTTGAAGCATTTATCAAGCTTGAAAAGTACAATTGATATACAAAACGGAACATCACTCTGTTAAAATATGCCATTGTAATTTTATTGAATACACCCATACATGGACTGTAGATTGTTTTCATTTTCTGTTGTCAAGAAGTACAAAGCAGAAGCAAAGTAAATCTCATTCAAGAAGCCAGTCGGAGGCAGAAGACTCTTCTAACCAGCAAGTCTCAAGCAGAGGGTTATGTGTCACAAGCCATAAAATGAATACTAGCAGCTCATGCCACAGCATTCCTGGCATATCTTCTGACTCTACCTCTGCATTGTCCTTTGGGAAAAATGGACGAACAAGAAGTACAGCCAAAGCTCACAGTTCCACATTGTCATCAGGTAAGTAATGTATTTTGAAGAACTTGTTAAAGGAAACCTTTTACTCCTCCTCTGTCTTGCTGTTAGTATTACTGAGTTCAAGCTTTACTTTTTGTAGTGTACATCTTATGGAACAAACCAGATCTTCCATTAAGACACTATATATCAGTTTTGCGGAAAAATTAGTCTTGTTGACTAAATTTGTAGTATGCTTCCTTTTAAAGTGGTGGCAGTTTTCAGTTCTAATTCCACAGTCAGCTTACACTAAATAGTTATAAATCATAAATTCTGCCATTTTCTTTTTGTTAGCTTACAAAGTCACATTTTTCTGCTTATGTGGCAAGTCCATGTAGAAATCCCTGCCTTGTCTATGGATGGCCAGGTTTTGCTGTTTTTCATTAGGGATAGCCACATTTACTATTAGGCTCCAACCCATAACTTATCAGCTTTTCTGCTGGTGCAGGAGGGAAGAGGTATAGATCTTGCCTGATTATCTCTTTAATGTAGCCATACTGTAATGGTTATTTGTCTACATGTATCCCACAGTCCACAGCACAGTCTTGGGAGCTGGGGTCTAAAGGAGTTGTTCTTCCCCTTATGAACCAACAAAAAAGCTGGCAGGATCCAACTTTTAGTAGTTCTTTTGTTTCAGGTATTGAGTGTCTCTCCTTCTTATGTTCTACAGAACTAAATCAAATTAGAATTATTACTAAGACTGTGATATGGACTAGGTGTATTATTTTGTATGAAACTGCATCTTTGGTGTGTGTATTTCTTTGCAATGAAAAATATTAACATCTGGGATTGTAGTGATTTAATTTAGAAATCACTTTAGAATTTAGAATTTTGTGGTCAATTTAGAAAATTTTGAGAATTGAGAAACAGGATAAGTAAAACCTACAAACATTAAGACGGAGGCTGGATGACCATCTCTCGGGTATGTTGTAGGACAATCTTTCGGCTATGCTCCTGCAGAGTGTAGGGGGTTGGACTAGATGACCTGCAAGCTCCCTTCCAACTCTAACATTCTGTGATTCTGTGGTGTTTGATTAGCATTAAATTATCAAACTTTTTCCAGAAAGTGAATTAGACCATTCTACAGCTACTTCATCTTCAAGCAGTTCAGAGGAAAGCAAAGAAAGTTCTGCAGAGCTCTCCTCTCCTATGTTACGTAATGGAATATCTGGGAAAAAGAATAACAACTTCAGAGTTACTAGGAACAGAGTATATCAGCAGAAACAAATGGGTACGTGTAATTCAGTAAATAGTAATTGCAGAACTGTTATGCCCAAGTATGCAGCTGTTCATTTTGAAATTCATACCTCATGTTTTAATCCAACAGGGGTTCTCAATACAGTTAAAAGGCAACACAAACAATTTAAGGTATAAAACCAACATGTAAAGCATGTTTCTAAACTGATCAATATAATTATTTAACTATTAAAACCAGTATCAGTTAGTAAATAAAAATGTCACAGTACAGAATAAAACAATCCAACCAGCTCTTCTTTGTAGAACGCTTGTAAAACACCTTTGAAAGTCTTGACCATCTTCTTAAAATCTGTGTGAGCATAAGCTTGGCTCCCTGGGGAAGGAGCTTGATAAAAGGGCACGTAACTAAAATTCCCTGTTGCTTATGTTCATTGGCCTAATTTTCTGTGGAGTAGGGTTCCATCAAATGACAGACACAAGGGGTCCATACTGCAGAAGGAATTCTCAAAAGTAACAAAACTGGATGCGTGTTTTTAAGCTTTAATAGGCAAAGCCAATAAAAATACTCAAGTCTTAAAATGTGTGTGTTCTTATATGCACTTTCTGTGCCAAGCAGCCAGGAGCTCAAACAGTCAAGGAAAAGATCACATGCCTATAAAGTGCAACTTAAAGGTTCATGAACCTTCAGTATGCCCCAATACAGTGTGGGAAAGAGACAGGGACTATGGTCACACATACTAAATAATCCACTTTCGATCCACTTTCAGTGCACTTTCTAACTGGATTTTACTGTGTGAATTGGCAAAGTCCAGTTGGAAAGTGAATTGAAAGTGGATTATTTAGTGTGGGTGACCGCAGCCTGGGTTTAAATCCTTCATCATCCATTCATTTTTGATATTTGAAAGCATCTTCTCCACTCTGTTAGCCTTTTTTTGTAATCCATGCAGTAACATATACAATTAGAAGTTTGCTTAGATCAGATTTTCTTTTCAACAAGTCTATATATCTCAACTTGACCATATTTCCATTTTAAACAATAGTTCAAAAAAATGTTATATTTTCACTTACTAGGCAAGTTTCTACATTTTCATCAATATACCTTTTGCCCTTTGCTCCAGGATAAGAGTCTATTGAGTCAACACGTTGCTGCCAAATGCATCTACTTCCTATTCCATCTAACTCAGAGGTTATCATTGTCAAGATTGATCTTTCCTTTCCTTACCATTTAGCTTAATCTTTAACATTATTAATTTAATATCAATACATCCTCATGCTTTCCTGCTTTAACTTTATCTGGTATAAACATTTTGTTTAACAAGCACTATAAGCCTATGCTTACTAACCACTTCAATGTATCCCTATTTTCTATTTACTAATGTTCTTACCCTCTACCAAAGCCATTTACATATTTTAGCCTCTACCAACTTCTCCTTACACCATTTTCCACCTAACCGTATATTCCATTATTATTTTTCAACTATAGTCTTGGTTGATCACATTTTGAAGCTCTTCTTATCCAGATAAACAAACTATTATCCCAGAACACATAAGGACCTTATATACACAAAGCAACATATTAAACTATCCAGATAAACAAATTGTTGCCCCAGTACACATAAAAACAGTCCTATACATTTATATACACAAGGCAAAATAATAAATTCCTCCTAATATATCCTAGGAGAAGAAACAACCCTTTAATTACTTTGTGGGTATTTCTTTTCAGACAGTTATATAGTTATAACCCCGCTTTTCCCTTTGAACAAACACCTACAAAAACATTTCATCCTTTAAAATCACATAACTCCATAATTCATTTACTTTGACATGCAACTACTCCCATTAAAAAAATAGAAAAACAATAATTCATATAACTTGATTTTCCCCCTTGAAATTAATAGTCTCTTCTTTTTAGCGATCATTTCCAAATGTCTCTCTTGTTTGTACGTACATGATTCCTTTTTTATACTCTCCCCTCTCTTTTTCAACCATGTTATTTTCACAATTTTGTGGAGGTTGTTGAAACTTGTCTCACCTCCCTCTTTTCCCCTTCTTTTGTCCTTTTTGCTTCTTTTTTCCCCTTTCTTTGTCCTCTTTTTCTTTAAATAATACAATTTTATTAAATCCTTATGGCTAGTGCTTTGTTTACAGTTATTTTGCACCTTTGCCATCTGTGGGGATGGGGTCTTGGACACCTTCTTTTCCTGATGCCTCTCCTGTTCTTTTCCCATGTTCTGTCCATCCTGTTCCGATTCCTCTCTGTTTTCTTTAGCCAACAATACGTTCTGTAGCTTTCCAAATATGTTGTCCCACGCTTGCTCTATCCCTCTACGTATCCCTTCACTTATCTTTTCCTCCAGTGTTTTCCGAAACAGCTCCATCATACGTTCTCCGTCTTCTACCTCCTCATCCGTCTCCACCCCCTCATTATTCTCTGCAGACGCCATTTTACTCAGCTACGTAGCTTCTTTTTGTTTACTTCCTCTCGTTTATTTCCTCTCAAAGAATCCATTTAGAGCTAAAGTTTAGCATTTCTGCCAGAAACATGTAAGTCCTTGCCAACAAAATTATTGTCCCCCAGCAAAACAAGAAAAATTCCAGTCCAATATTCAGCCCGTTTTACTTTTCCCGGCCGCTTCTCTTCTATATTCTGGGCAATTACGCTGGGGTTTATATAGCTTGTAACCGCAGTCGTACTCACTCTGTTTGCATTTGTTACTGCTTGTATATCCATTTAATTAAAAACAACGGCTGGCTGCGACTGGTGCAGGGCATGGTGACCATGCCTGCTTCCCTTCTCTGCTCCTGCTTCAGGGCACATACGATAACACTCGTGCATTTGCCATATGCATGAGTGCTCGCATCAATCCCCCTGCCACCCCCCCTCCCCTGGGAGGTTGGGTGTTGCCCCCCGTAATCCGGGAGACAGCAAAAAAAGCCGAGTGGGAGTGGACGCTTTGGAGCATTCCGAAACGCGTCCGTTCGTTGCGCCATACCGGCTTCTCGGCCTTTTGGCTAAGAAGTGTAAACATTATCTACCTAAGTCATCTGTTCTTATCAGTTTTAAAAATGTGTTTTTAAACTGCTCTTGTATTTTAAAGAAAGATATCAGAGCAGAAAACTAGTTTTGTATAGCAAAGCCAGGGGAAAGCTGAAAACCTTTGCCACTGAGGTAATTTGAGGCTGCATAAGCTTGCAGTTTACGTTTTATAGACAGACCAGGAGACTGTAAATGTTCCTAAAACGACTTCAGCAGCTCATTTCTGCACTCCCATTTCCACAGAGTATTCTCAGCTAATTGTTCTGTACACGCTGTAATTAATCAACAGCCCCCACCCGAAAACACCTCAAATTGACCATCACGTAAGGTTGCATTAGCAACAACAAAAAAATAAGCTGTAAAACAGAACATTAAATGCATATATATTGTTGTCAGCACTCTTGTGTATCATTTACTCCATGGATGTGGGATGGCCAGATACCTGAGCTGAAGTTGTGCTTTCGCTTATAGACTTTAAATCATAAATTGTATGAATACAGACCTTTTGGTATCTTTATGTTCTTCAGTGTACATGATTTTAGGATCTTGATTTATGTTTATTGAAAATTCAGCAAAGAAAATACATGTTATGGTACATGAAAATGCAATTGCACTTTCAAATGCTGTTTTTCTGCTGTGATTGTGGTGCTAACATCTTAAGTCTGTTTAAAGAGGACTAAAATGCCAGCTCTAGAGTTATTAAGAGCTTGGCCCAGAGCTTTTGATGGGAGGGCGGGGTAAAAATCTAATGAAATAAATAAATAAAATAAAATAAACACTTGGGGAAATTTAAAATACATACCTTCAAAAATGTTCAAGATTTGCAAACAAATTTGCATTTTTAATGCCTAGATTCTCAGGAGACTGGAAATCTCCAAAGAACTACTAGGAGAAGAATATACAAAAAAGACACTGAGTGTTCCACAGAGCCTTGTGAAGCTTTGAGCAACAGACATCGAAGGCACAGAAAAATTCCACGCAGGAGTGCTACTGTGGCAGCTAATAAACTAAGACTGATGAGTGATGTAGAAGAGGAGCAGTCTAGCTCAGAAAGTATTAGTATTGGAAACAAAAACAGAAAACTGCCTCATCGCAGTGCTTCTGCTGCAGCGAGAAAAGTGTTGCTAAATGTTTCTTACAGTTCCATACAGAGTGAAAGTGATAAGGAAGAAGAACAATATAGCCGAAGGAAAACCTTTGAAGCTGATTCTGCTAGTGGTGCTGTTAAAAAAAGGCATATCAGTGAATCTGAAAGTGAGAGTTCAAATTCTGAAAGCGGCATGCAAAAAAAATTAAAGAGCTGTCACATTAATGGCCATAAGCAGTCACACAGAGCTGACTGCAATGCATCTAAAATAAAGCCCACTGTAGAATTTTCAGAAGACGACTCTAAAAATCAGACTTCAGAAGATGAGAGTGTTCAACAAACTTTTGATCATTCTACACCCAAAAGGAGGAGCAATTCTGAGGCAGATTCTGAATCAGACAAATGCAGTGGCTTACCAAAACAGACTCTTAAAAAGGCACCAACTCGCTGCAGGAAAGCAAAAGTTTTAAGTGACTCAGAGGAAACGGCAGAGTCTGAGGGAGAGGATGAGAAATTTACTCTTTTAGAGAGCAAAGGAGCTGAAACGTTAAGACAATTAGATGATGGTGTCAAGTGCTCATCTAAATTTGAATCTGAAACAGACTCTGATAACAGCAGCAGTGCATCAAAAAGGCAGAAAAGGAAAGCTGTCAGGAAAGGTAATGTATAAAATGGTAAAATACAAAATTTTGATTTTATGTGCATTGAAAATTAAAATGCGTTTCCTTGTAGCCTTCTTCAGTGCATTTCCCTGTGTGCAACAGAGTTTACTTAGCACAACAAAACCACAATATCTTTGTACGATGTAGCACAGCTTGCAAACCTTAAGATGTATACCTGCAATCCTCACTTTATCCGGGTAGTTCAGAGTCTGTCTTTCAGCACTGTGTACTGTATTGTATAAACCATTAGGTTCATCACAGTAAAAAAAAATATTTAAAGCATTTATTAGCAGCCTTTCTTCCATACAGAGTGCAAGACAGCTTACAATATAGCTAAAATAATCAAATCCATTAAAAAAACATAATTTAAAATCACAGTTTAGGATTGCTGGCAAATTAATTAAATGTGGTCTAAAGAAAGCCAGGTTTGCCACATGGGAGTGCTACTCGACACAGCAAATTAGGCAAAAGTACTCAGAACCACTGCAGCTACCTGGTTTCCTAAGGTGACTGCTGTGATTAGCAGCACTCTCAAGTAGCCAACCTGGCTTTTCAAGAGGGGGATAACCCCATTCAAGACAGGAGAGATCTGAAGTCCCTGGTATGCCTTTCTACTAACCCAGAGAGCCTCTGTCTTGTCAGGATTAAGTTTTAGCTTGTCCACCCTCATCCAAGCCCATTACTAACTGCAAGCACTGGTGCAGACATCAACTGTATTTATTTATTTATTTAGATTTATATCCTGCCTTGCCTGCACAGGCAGGCTCAAGGCGGCATACAACAGTTTAAAATACAATAAAATACAACAATAAAATTTCAAATTATGAATAAATTACATAAAGTGCAGTTGAATACAGATGGTGAATTTCTATGAGGTGGTCCGATGAAGCTACGGTGGTGTCCGAAGTTGTTCTGAATGCCAGCAGCATGGTGGCCATAATAGTCCAGTTGTCAATAGCTCATTCATCAGTGGCGGCTCCTAATTGAAAGCCTGGTGAAAGAGCTCCATTTTACAAGCCCTGCAGGGCCATCATGTTTTCCGGGAGCTCATTCCCCCAGTGTGGAGCCGCCACTGAGAAGGCTCTCGCTCTGGTGATGGCCAATCTGGCGTCTTTTGGGCCAGGGAGAGTCAGGCGATTTTGCAACCCTGACCTCAGTGCTCTCTGGGGGATATATGAGGAAAGGCGGTCCCTCAGGTAGACAATATCCTCAGTTAGGTGGGAAAGAAAGATAGAGCGGGGTATCATCTGCATATTGGTGACACCACAGCCCAGATCTCCTGACGACCTCTCCCAGCAGCTTCACGTAGATATTAAATAACATAGGGGATAAGATCAAACTCTGTGAAGCTCAACTGGCCAGCGGCCATGGGGCAGAGCAGGAATCCCCCAGATAGGACTTGAACCACTGTAATATTGTGTGTCCCAGTGCCAAGAGATGGCTTAGCAGGATAGTATCAAAGGTCACTGAGAAATCCAGCAGAACTAGCAGGGTCACCTTCCCCTTGTCCAATTCTCAGTAAAGGTCATTAACCAAGGTGACCAGAGAAGTCTCTGTTCCAAATCCCTGCTTGAAGCCGAATTGAAATGGGTCCAGAAAATCAGTCTCTGGAGCTGAGAAGTATCAACCAGTTCAAGCACCTTGCCCAAGAATGGAAGGTTAGAAGATTGGCTAGAAGTTCTCCAACACAGTAGGGCTTAGGGAGGTTTGTTTCAAAACAGGCCTCCTTGAGCATGGGTTCCACAACTCCTGCCTTCAAGGAAGCATTTACCCACTCCCCTTACCCACTTGGCCAGCCCCTCCCCCCCGCCTCGACAGCTTTTATCAGTCAGGAAGGTGGGGGTTGAGAACACAGGTGGTAGCTCTCATTTCTGTAAGGATATTGTCCACATCCTCAGGATCCACAAGCTGAAACGTATCCATATAAATCAGACAAGCTGGTGCCAAAGGTTCATTATCATCTGAACATGCATCCACACTTGCATTTAATCATAAAATCATAAGAATAACAATTAAAATAGCCAGCAGTGACAAAAACTCAAGTCCAAGCAATTGCCTAATAAGTGAATGATAACGTTCTAGCTCTTGACTAAACTTGTGATACACAGAGGTGATTAAAAAGAGGAATTCTGCCTTAGCATCAGGGGTGTCCATATGTACTGCAGTATCTTTAGCTTTACTTATCTATTAAATATGGTTACTGTAACTATAAACTTGTGTATTTTTCAACAGTTAGTTTTTGTTCATGTCTAATACTGTGTTATTCATTCTTTTTGCATGCCTTTATAGAATATGTCATCCAGCAGAATGGACATAATAGAAAATCTGCCAGAAAAAGACCACATGAAAGTGATTCTCAGAAAGGAGGCTATAAAATACAAAATAGTGAGCATCATAGTTGGAAAAGATTACCACACAGAAATCCTACTGTGACAGTTACTAAATTGAGGCTCTTGAATGAAGTGCAGGACCTTTCAAACTGGGAAGCGTCTGGGAGTAAGAATGGAGGACTTCCCAATCAGTATGTCGCTTCTACAGCTAAAAAAATGTCTGATAGTTCAGGGGATGGAGGTCAACAGTCTGATGAACAAATAACTAGGCGCAACAACAGAAGAAAGCTCTCTGTAGCTGCTTCGACTGCTGTTTCTGATATACAGAGATATAATAGTGAATCTGAAAATAGTTCAGATTCCGAAAGTACTAGAAGAAAGAACAGAAATGCTAAAACCCATAAATATCAGCACAGAACTGTGTGTGATGAATCTCTTAAAATAAAACCCAGGATGGAATTTTCAGAGAGAAACTCCAAAAGCCATGTGTCGAAGGATAGTAGTTTTTCCCACCTCTTGGCTTATACACATACACAGAATGCTATAAATAGTTCTGAATCTGAAGTAGACACTGAGTTAGACAAATGCAATGAAAGCATTGAGAAGCAGCAGAACCATAAAAAGACCCCAGCTTCTTCCAGTAAATCAAAAATGAAAAATCACATCAAAGCAACAACAGAATCTGATGTAGAACATAAAGGAGATGGAATAGGCTCTCTGCAAGACAGCAACAGACCTTCAAGAAGATTAAAATCTGGAGGCACAGCACACTCAGAAACTGCATCCGACTCAGATAGTAGCACCTACAATGATGCCCCCAAACAAAAACATGTGAAAAAGAAGGGGGACGTGGAAAACTTTAAGAAAGGTAATATTTTTAGAAGTAATGTGTTAACTTTGTCTAGACTGGGAACATGCAGCCTTTTTACCTGAGTACAGGAAAAAAAAACCTTAAAATCTACGTATGAAGATGTTGGTTTGCCAGCAAAGAAGGTGGCTTGGGGCTGAGATGCAAGCTTTCTACTTAGCTAGATATACTGCAATTTTGTATATAGAAGTGACTTTTGGTATAGATGTAAGGAACTAAAGTAACCCCTCTCCAGAGCTATCAGTAAGAAACATCAGTGGTTTTGCTTAGGAGGTACACAGGGATGTAATTGCAATTGATTAAAATAATGCCCATGCATCAAAGGTGCTTAGTGAGCAGTGGTAGAGTTTCTACTCCCACTTTCAGAACTACCATGCTACAAATTCTAATATTACATAATTGCTCTCTACTGGAACAGATCTTTCCTCAAGGTCCTGCTAGCTTTCTGCCTGACCTTTTTGGTTCTCATCTTCCATACCTGTCTTTCAGGCATGTGGTGCTTAGCCAGGCATGTGGTGCTTAGCCACAGAGTAGACTGGGTGCCATGCCACATGGATGCTTCTGCATGCTCCCTCCTGGGTGGAAATTGGGGGTTCAGGGGCTAATGTTTTCTCCAACATTTTAGATATAAATCATGCCAGATTACCGAAACTGTGGCAAAATTTTGGGTAGCATGCTACTGCATCCGAAATACACAATCAAATGTATAATAATAGTTGCCTAATAGTCTCTGTTTTATGTTCTTCTTTTACTTTATTATGCTCAACTGTATTTTTATAGAATTTTGTTTTACTGTCCTAAATTCAGTTATATGAATGTTATGAATGTTATATTTAAGCATGTGTGTTCTATGGCTTGTTGCCGTAATAAATGACTGACTGTCATGCCAGATGTATGAAGACAGCAACAGTGATGGGTTTGAGGGCCGTGGAACATGGAAAGTGACCACCTAGTCTGAGGCTCGGTTCCTCTGTCCTTCAAGAAGCCTGTTCCCTACTGGCCTCAGAAGCAGCTCTCCTTGAGGAGAGTAGCAGTGATTTTTGCTGTTCAGAGAGCAGATGTCCCACATGTGCTGCTTGCAACTGTTTATGGCCATCTTAACAGCCTGAGCACACTGAACAGCAGTGTGGTGCTCTTCCACAGTAGAGCACTAACCATTGGCATGGGGCTGCTGGCATTAAGGGCAGGGCCAGAGCAATGTTACTTTTTAGTCCTGGTGTACTCTGAGCCCAGCAAAATGATCTGGCATTTTGGGGTTGCCTTCTCCCTGGTCTATGCTGAGCCCATGCAAAGGTTACGTTAGCTGGAGAAGCAATGCATACTGTGGGATTTCAGATTACATAAAAAGCATTCAAAATGTTTATATTTTAAGTTGAGAACTAGAGGGTGGGGAAAAGGGGCGGTAAGGTATGATGAATGATCAGGGACTAGAACTGGAAATGTGTGACTGCTAAAAGGCTGTCATAGTAATGTTCTTGGTTAATTCCTGCTCCATCTTACATGAATATTTTTAAAGTATATAAAATAAATTTACATATTAAAATATTTAATGAAATGTTTCCAAATTCACAGTCCTGTTGTTGTCCTATAACACAGGCTGGCTTCTCAGTATTACTTCATTATGTCATTTTTAAAACAAAATAATTTCTTTTGGTAATGCAGCATTTTGAACTTTAAATCTTTGTTTTGCAGTATCAGCTTTTAAAGGAATAAAGCAAAGTCCAGTAGTACTCAGGAATAGGAAAAGCTTCCAAAAATATGTGGAATCAAATCGTGAACCAATGAATATCAGTGTTGTGAATGGGAAAAAAAATCCACGCCGTAGTGCTGCTGTGGCTGCTAGTAAAATTAAGCTCATTAGTGATACTAAGGAAAACATCTCAGGTCCAGAATTTGATAATGCTAAAAACACAGCCCGAAGACTTCCATACCGCAGTGTGTCTGCTGCAGCCAGAAAGCTGATACTGGATATTCTGCCTTCCCCCTCTGAAAGTGAAACAGAACCAAAGGAACGTGAGATGAAGAAAAAACAATTTCAGACCAGTTCTTGCATAGCTAGAAAATCTATTGAAGAACCAAATATGAAAAATTTGGACTGTAAAAAAGAGCATGTAGTAAATCAAAAGAGCAGGAAAAACAGTAGCTCAAGACAGCAATCTCTCAGAACTGTGAGTAGTATGTCTCCTAAAAGGAAAAAGTTTGCAAAACCTTTGGAAGAAGGATCATCCAATAGTCTTTCATTTGAAAATCAGAGAAACTTAAGTCAATCAACATCTGCAGATAACCATAACATAGCAAGCAGTTCTCCAGCAGATTCTGAATCTGAAAAAACGTATGGTGGTAAAAATGTAAAAAGCATAACAAAGGCTGTGAAAGAAAAGCAAAAGCAAAGAGGTAGTTCTTTGTTAAAAATCAGGAAACCCAGAACTTTGAGAAGCTCAAAATCTGAACCTGATGGCTGTTCCAATTCCTCATCTGATTCAGAATCTAAGGACATTGACGATAGCAAGGAGGGAACAACAGAAAAGAGGAAAAGGAAAGCCACTGCTATAGCTAAAAACATAAGTGATGGTATCTCTGAACCTTCCAGGGCATACCAGAGAAGGAATAACATAGCAAGCAGTTCTCCAGCAGATTCTGAATCTGAAAAAGGGTATGGTGGTAAAAATGTAAAGAGCATAACAAAGGCTGTGAAAGAAAAGCAAAAGCAAAGAGGTAGTTCTTTGTTAAAAATCAGGAAACCCAGAACTTTGAGAAGCTCAAAATCTGAACCTGATGGCTGTTCCAATTACTCATCTGATTCGGAATTTCAAACAGAATCTAAGGACATTGACGATAGCAAGGAGGGAACAACAGAAAAGAGGAAAAGGAAAGCCACTGGTATAGCTAAAAACATAAGTGATGGTATCTCTGAACCTTCCAGGGCATACCAGAGAAGGAAGCGGCCAAAAGTGAATGAAGAAAATGATTCTGAAGAACTGGATTATGCAAAGTATAAAAGAGTGAATCGACGTTCCAAAATAAGAACTAGAAATGGAGGCAGGAGGACTGTAAGATATGCAGATGATGAAGATGATTGTGACATGTAACCTGTGATTCCTCAGTTAATTACACATATTGGTTCTCTTCCTATAATTCAGGGAATATATATATTTTTCTATGAAAAAGTTAAATATGGAGACTCTCCTTTTCATGTTGTGACTTTGCACTTGTCTGCCTCTGTAGCAGCATTTAGCACATATGCCAAATGTGCCTCATTATAGGGGGCAAAACTCTATTGGTATTTTGCTAAATATGGTAGTAAAGTTGGGGGGGGGGTAAAATATTAAGCAACAACTTAAAAGCTGCATGTTTAGTATCAGGTGCTGCACAGAGACACTACCTATGTCATTCTTTAATAGTCTGTTCAGGATCAGATAATTGGAACAGTTTTGTTTGATATTGTATAAATGAGTCAGACTAGCATCTAATACTGTATATTATAAACAAGGTGGATACTGATTAAACAGATATAAAGTGGTTCCCATGCAGATAATAAAACAACTTGTTAATGAGCGGTGCTATCAATTTTCAAAACATGCAGCTTGAACTAATAGGTAATAAAATACTTGGCAATTTGTAAATATGTGGATAAAGGATTTTGCTGTCAGATACAATCTTTTAATATGTGGCTTCCATGCTGTACATTTTTGGATCATTGAATACAGATGATCACTTGAGCCTAAGATTTTTTGTGTGTGTTTTGTTACAGGAAAAAGCAAAATTATAAGTAAAGCTTGTGCTTTGTGGGGTTGTTTTCAAAAAGGATTAAAACTTTCTATTGTTAAGAGTACTAGTATTTAAGGTGTTTTGCTAGAGCTGGATGCTTGATTCCTTAAGATTTAATTACTTGTTAACTTAGATTGTTGGTGCACTGAAATTTCACCACCTTCTGACTTGTCAAAGTACAGCACCTTCATGCTGGTGGTGTTTAGGATGGCGCTATTTGATCTATATTGTTGCATATCAAGAATGGGGAGTACATGGTATTGTATAACTGTCTAATGGTGAAATGTGTGCAGTTTCCTTTACTGATACCACTCCAGTCTGGTATGCCTTCTCTGTGGAGGTGTATGATATTTAAACCCCCTCCTCCCCTTTTGCGGGGATTATCATTTTGTTTCTAGTGTTGCCATATTTGTTTTAATTTTGTGAAAATTCTAGAGTTCTGCATTAAGCATAACAAGCATTTTAATTTATCCTTATGGGCCATCTGAGACTTTCTTCTGAGAATTATTCAGTTAAAAACAAGTAGCTGAAGTCCATTATTTTGGAATGTTTGTTGTGATTTCCATTTCTTGATTTCTAAAGGAAAAACTCCCTAAATAAAACATGTCTATTAAGAATGCTAGTTATCACAGTGCTTTATTTTTCCATGTTACCTTAAAAATGTATTATTTTTTAAGGTTGATCGGGCTCTTTAGCTTGTTTTAGGAACTTTTGAAATTAAGCAAACTTTGAATGATAAAATCCCAAAACTCATTGAATCTGAAATTCGCTTCTGTATAAAATGGACATTTACTTGCAACTTTAGAATAGCGAGTGTATTTTAATTGCTTGTCATGTTATAGTAAATCAACACAGCATAAGAAAGTCTAAAAAAAAAGTTCTGAAATGTATTTCTCTGAGTTTTCTGCACCTTACTTTCCCTCAGCCTTGAGCCTTTCCAACCAGTCTGGGATTCTTACATAAACAAATGAACATACCATGATCAATGTATCCTAAAATATAAAGATCTATTTTCAATTCAATTTATTTCTACAGTTCTTAGACCAGTCATACAAAAAAGTACACCTTTGCAATATTCCAAGATTTTAAGATACATCAGTGAAACATTAAAAGCAAATTAAAATTTAATCTAATATCAAACAGCTATATCTAACTAGCTACCTTAGAGTTTCCGTGACCTGAGTATCACAGAAACTGGCTACTTGGTGGGTAATTTTGGGGTTTCTATCAGATAGAAGAAACTCGAATCTAGCTTTTTCGGAAAGACCCGGAATTTGTTCAGTCAGCGGAGTGATTTTATTACGCCCCACCTTATAATACGGACATCTAAAAAACATGTTCTCTGTAGTCTCAACCTCCCCTAATGGGCAGGTACAAAGCCTTTCTGAGAAAGGAGTATTCTTCTATTTTCCTTCAAGTACAGCAGAAGGGAGGGCAGAGCACCTCGCCAGAGTGAAGGCTCTTCTAAACCCTTTTACTTCCAGAGATGTTAAATAGTTGTCTGGACCCACAGTATTTTTGATAATTGCCCTCATCTTAATGTTTTGTATGCTGGAAAGATCAGTTTGGCATTCTATATCCTCAATTCTCTGCTTAACTAATATTTTTGCTTGGTCTGTTCCAAAAGATAAGAGCACCTGGGGGGAAAAACCTATTTTCACTAGATAGCTCTGAATAGACTTAGACCAATTTGATTGGAAATTGTTGCAGAGTATCAGAGGGAGTAAACCTTGTGGATTGAGATACCCCTTTAGCCAGGTATGTATTGATAGAATACGGACCCAGGCTTCAACTTTTAAACAGCCTGTATCCAGTCTTACCCTGGCATTTGACACACATCTAGGGACCTGTAAGATAGTTCTTAGGAACTTAGACTGAACTCTTTCTAGAGTTGCAAAATAGGAACTGGGTGGCCCCATAAATGAGCCATATAACAGTTGGGCTAGCGTCTTGGCTTTATATAATCTGTTATATAAAGATCTGTTAGTGTAAGAACCAGTGCTGAGATTGCTGCAAAGCTGCAGTTAGAGATCAGACCTTAGTTGCACATCAGAGCCAGAATCCAAAGTGGGCCTTTGACCTTATGTTTTTCAATCAGTCATCTTTTGAAACAAGGCAGTTTCAAAAGCAATATGGCATTCTGCAGCTATTCAAAGTATTTTTAATGGAGCTACTCTTAGCCCCTTGCATGTGCCTAAAGTAACCATTGGTTGTCCAAAGCTTGTCTTAATTTTAAAAAGCCAAGAGGCAAACTCTCTTCGCATCCTGTGGCTTCTGAGCCCCTTCCCTTATGGAATACACTCATTGCAAATCCATCTTCTGGAACCTGGGGGAATGCTAGAAATGATGTTGTATAAGGAAATGCTGCTGGGTGCCAGGGATCACTATGCACACAGTACTCCAGGTGCTGACCAATGCAGTGTGCAGTGGGACTTGACTTCTTGCAATTTGGATGTTATGCCTCTATTGATAAATACCAAGACTACATTAGCCTTTTTTTGCTACTACATCACTCTGATTGTTCATATTTGGCAATCCACCCATTTTAGCAGTCCACCCATACCCCAAGATCTTGTTCACAAACATTGCTACCCAGAAGTCTGTCCCTTATCTAGTATGCGTGCTTCTCATTTTTGTTACCCAGGTGTAGAACACTACTGTTGGTTGAATTGCATCTTATTCACATCTGCCCACTTTTCCAAGGTGTTCAGATTTTGTTGAATTCTATATCTTCTGGGCTGTTCGCTACTTCTTCCAATTTGGTGTCATCTGCTAATTTAATGAGTGGTTCCTTCACACTTTCATCCAGATCATTTATAAAAATAATGGGTGATTTCCCACAAGCGCTGCTCCGCGCTCCTCCCTTTTGCCCTGATGGTACGTGTCAGTTTCACACAAGCTGCTGTGTGGCCGCATTTTGCCCTGCAGCTTCGCGTGATTTTCCCCACGTCTACTCAATCCTAAAAAAACAGGATTGAGTAGACGCGGGGGGAATCGCGCAAAGCTGCAGGGCAAAATGTGGCCGCGCAGCAGCTTGTGTGAAATTGACACCTATCATCGGGGCAAAGAGAAGAGTGAGCTCAGAGCAGCGCTTGTGGGAAATCACCCATTGAAAATTACTGGGCCCAGAACCGAGTCTGCGGCCCACTGGATACCTCCCTCCAATCAGATGAAATGCCATTGACAACTACTCTTTGGGTGCAGTTCTCCCAACCAGTTCCCTGACAACCTAACTATCCTAGAGTCCAGTCTGCAGTCCTCCAGTTTACCCATCAAAACATCATGGGGGATCCTGTCAGAAGCTTTAATGAAATCCAGGAAAACGATGTCAATGGCATTCCCATGATCCAGTAAGCTCATCACTTGATTAAAGAAGGAAGCAAGGTTGATCTGGCAGGACCTGTTGGGAACAAATCTGTGTTGACTTCCCTGGGTCAACAAATTGTCCTTCAGATGCTTGCAGATTGTCTCCTTTAAAATCTGTTCCAGTATTTTCTCTAGGACAAAGGTCAGACTGGCCTTTAGTTTCCTGGGTCATCCTCCCTTTTTTGAAGACTGAAATAACGTTTGCCCTCTTCCCGTCTTGTGGCACATCTCCCATCCTCCAAGAGGTTTTGATAGTGATGGACAAAGGTTCTGCAAGCTCTCTAAAAAGTTCTTTGAGTACTCTCAGGTGCACACTGTCTGGCCTGGGGATCTATACTCCTCCAGTGCCACCAAATGCCTCTCAACAACCTCTTTCCATGTCAACCAGCAGCCCAGACACTGTGTCTTATCTGTTCAGGGGGAAAATGAGGGAAAATAGGCATTGAGCCATTTTTCACCCAGCAGTGGGCCTGTTGCCTCTTACCTTGTGTTTGCTCCTTGCATATCTGAAGAAGATGGAACCAAGTTGGAAGGAGTATCAAACATCCCAGAAAACTGAGATATTCAATGAGATCTGAACACACTGGAAAAGTGGGTAGATGTGAATAAGATGCAATTCAACAAGGATAAGTGCAGAGTTCTATGTATGGGTAACAAAAAGTGGCAAGCATCCATACTGGATGGGGGACACACTCCTGGTTTACAGATGGACTGTAAACTGAATATGAGCCGTCAGTGTGAAGCAGCAGTAAAAAAGGTTAATACAGTCTTGGGGTGTATTAGCAGAGGCATAACATTCAAATTGCAAGGTCATAGTCCTGCTGTAGACTGCATTGATCAGGCCACACCTAGAGTACTGTGTGCAGTTCTCTAGGCCTCACTAAAAAAGGATGCAGAATAGAGCACTTGCAGAGAAGAGCGACGAGGATGATCGGGCCTGGAGACCAAGCTCTAG